GCAGTTCGGGGGAGGGAGGATCCGGATTCCTCTGGGCTCCGCCCTGGCGCAGCGCTTCTCCTGGCCTCTCCACGCTGCTTGCAGACCAGGCTGTTTCTCCCATTCGAGATCAGCGAAGCGACCCCTGACCTCTCCCCGATTTCCAGACCTTCCAGGTTCTCCTGGTCCTTTCTGAGGAAAACCAGAAGAGGAAAGGAGCACAAAAAATATCTCCAGAGGCCGGAGTTTTCTTCGCGTCTTGTGTCCATCCCTCTGCCTCTTACGAATGGTCCTTTGGAGCGCCTCCTACCGGCCAGCCGCAGGCCTCCCTCGCTCGCCAGGGCAAGATAGGCGCGGATTACCCAACTCCCTTTGCCTAATGCCCCCTTTGCCTCTTCAACAGACTCCATTAGACCGGAGGAAAATAGATTTTCCTTGGCTCTTAAGGAAAGGAAGAGCCAAGGAAAATCTATTTTCCTAAGAAAGGAAGAGATAAGACTGCAGGCTCCTTGAGGAAAAGTGTTTGGAGTCCGCACATCCAGGGAGTTGCGCTGAGCGCACTGCTGCTGACTTGTTCATTTACTGACTAGAAAGCGCACCTTTTCCTATTTCGTCGTTGTTAATCGTCGTCCACTAGTGATTGACCACCTAGCAAAGATGGGGAAAAAAAACCAAAACCGAGTCCTTGTCCTCAGGCAATTTCTTTGAGGAGACCGAGTAGAAAAATAAAGTTGACGATTCTTATACCATATACTTAAAATCTGACAATCTGAGGGAGCAAATGGTAAACACTGAATGATTGGGGGTAGGGGCGCATTGTAAGGAGTTATGGGTCAGACTTTTCAGCAACTATTTCACAAAGGAAATTGAATTTATGTAATGGTAAGATCTTAAATTTAGTCCTGCCTAGGACCTTTTCCTATACATGTACACACTCACTCCCCAGATTCAGAATTAAAACAGTTTCTCTGACTCTGGGCCATATGGGAAATCTTCTCACTGCTTAATGCCATTCTAAATAGGATTTTTGCTATAGACTGAATGTTTGTGTTCCTTCACAATTCATATGTTAAAACCTAATCCCTAGTGTGATGGTATTTGGAGCTGGGACCTTTGGGAGGTGCTTGGGTCATGAGAATAAAGCCCTCATGAATGGAATTAGTGCCCTTATTAAAGAGACCTCAGACAGCTCCCTTTCCCTTTCTGTCAAGGACACAGCATCTATGAACCAAGACGTGAGCTCCAACCAGACATTGAATCTGCCAGTGCGTGATCTTTGACTGACTACCTAGCCTGCAGAAATGTGAGAAGGAAATGTTGGTTGTTTAAGCCACCCAGTCTATGATATTTTTGTTTCAGCAGCCCTAATGGACTAAGATAATTTTGTATAACAAGATTATTTCCATGTCCCTGCAGATCTTTCGAAGAAGCAAAGGTGGACAGATCTAAATCGTACACAATGGTAAAATCATCTTTTCTGGTCCCTATTCATGAACCAATCATTCCATACACAAAAAGAGCAACATTCAGGTTTTTGACTAAACAGGAGAGGTCTAGGATATATTGAAGAGGACTAGGACTAGCAATAAGGTGAGCCTGGGTCCCAATCTGGGATTCATGCCGTATAATCACCTAAGTCACCAACTCTCTCTGAGTCTGTTTCCTCATTTTTCAAGTGGAGTTAATATCTTATAAGATTGCTTTGCCATTAGCGAGATAACACGTAAAGTTCCTGGCTTGTAGTAGGCCCTTACTAAACAGAAGCAATGATTACTAAGTAAGCTGTAGTTAAATTCTGCACTTTTGACCCACAGCTAATGCAATATGTTATCATATCTATTACGTATTCATTCAACAAATGTTTATTGGGCACTTCCCACGTGCCAACTAGATGCTGGGAGTACAACGGTGAACAAGATGGCCATTGTTTCTGCTGTTGTGGGCCTTAAAGGGCAGAGAGACAAACAGGCCCTCGGAATACAATATGAGGAAGGCTCTGACAGAGACGGACACCCCTCCACAGCCCAGACTCCTGGGCAACACACAGAACACGGCTGAGAAAGAAATAAGTCAGTCCACTTCAAAGGCCCCTGGAAGTAGGCAGAATAATAAATAAATGACACATGCTGAGTGGGCCTGAGTCCTGATTGAGACCAGGTGTTCACTACAGAATGGTTCTGTCTTTTTTCCAGAGCTCGTCGACTACAAATGAGATTTGCTAGTAAACTATTCATTAAAACTATTACATTTCAGTAGGATAACCTGAGGGCCTCAGCAGTTTGTATAAAAAGATTTTACCTATAGTCCTATCTAAGCCAGTGCTTCTCATCAGGACATTTGGCAATGTCTAGGGACATTTTTGATTGTCATGACTGGGTACTCAGTGAGTAGAGGCCAGATATGCCACTAAGTGTCCTACAGTGCACAGGACAGCCCTTCACAACACAGAGTTATCCAGTCCCAAGTGTCAATAGTGCTCAGATTGAGAAACCCTGACCTAGAGGAACTATTTTAAAAAATCGGAACTAAAGCAATATTACTTAATCTTCCTAAAGGCTTCAGGACAATGGACTGTTTCCGTTTCGTTTCGGTTTTTTTTTTTTTTTTTTCCTGTACTGAAGATGTATGTATCCTCCCTGGGCCTGTTTCCTCATTCTGAGAAATTGGAGTATTGGATTAGATCTTGCAGAAAGTTCTTTCCAGCTTGAAACAAAGTATATGACTCAAATACACTTACAGCATTAGGAAGCAATTAACGTGGGTCTCTAAGATTGAGCTGGCGGAGGCGAGTCCAGGTGCTAGTCTGTCTGCACTCCCTCATCTTGCAGACTTCCTGAAGTCGGGTGCATAGACAACTCATCAAAATTATGAAGAACCTACTATGGGCAAAGCACTGTGCTTAGGTGTTAGAGGGGTGCCAAGAGTAATTAGACACAGTTCTTGGTCTTGAGTTACAATGTAGGAGGGCAAGAAAAGCAAGGATAACCATAACATTAGACCAGCACTAATGGTAGGGAGAAGACCAACATTAATTGAGTATGTATGTGTCAGATGCTAGGATACGCATTTAGCATATTTTTCTCATGAATCCACAGTACTTTCCATTATTTATGCCTATGTCTCAGGTAAGGAAACTGAGGCTCTGGAGAGTTAAGCAGCTTGTCCACAGTCAGAGAGTGATGATTGATAGAGCCTGGGTAAGACTCTGGCCAAGACCCTGGGCCTGTTTATCCGAACACCCGAGCCTTCAAATATCGTTCTAATAACTCACATCTTCACTTCCCTCATACAGACGCTGACACCATCAGCAGAGAATCTAATACAATGTGTAGCCCATTGCAGTGAATGTCAAATGATGGTTCAGGTTATTTTGTGACTCAGATTTAGATCTGAATAAATATCCCTTGAAATACGTGGAGTTTAGCTTAGAAATATTTTTGTCGTGGATCCCATTTATTGTAACAAAACCTCTGCAGTAGATAGAGCAAAATTCCTTGCTAACAGTTGTTCCTAAGATCTGATTGTGGGAAGGGAATAGACTGACCTTTCAGGAGCAGATATGAATATTTCCACCCTGTGAAAGTGTAACATACTAAGGTAGCTATACTAATAACTTCTACTTGTACTTTTAACATTTGAAAAGCACGTGTTAATTCTTTCAACCAATAATTATGGAGCACTTGACATATACAACAGTGTTCCAGACATATTCAGGCATACAAAGAATCTAGCCAGGAAAATAAAATGTTAAAAAGCCAAATAATAATATAAGGTAATGGCTCTCAACTGGGGCAAGTGTGCACCCTGAGGTACATTTGGCAATGTCTGAAGGCATTTTTGACTGTCACAATTGGAGGGCATCTAGTAGGTAGAGGCCAGGAATGCTGCCAGGCATTCTAAAATGCACAGGATAACCCCCCACAACAAAGAATTATCCAGCTCAAAATGTCAGTAGTGCTGAGGTTGAGAACCCCTGATTTAAAGCAATTATGTGCAATTGGGG